CATCCTTTTAGTATATTTCAAAATAACCATTCTTCATCAGAAGGCTTAAATACAGATATAAATAAAGACAATGAGGACTGGCATTTGTTATCTTTCATAGAGATATTCCCACTGTGACGTCAAACATTACCATAGATTAAGAAAATTCAATAGCAACAAGGTCAATATTTCTAAAATTCTAGATAGAAATAATAGTCACCTATATTATACAATGAACACTCGGTATATCAACTCCATGTGTGCACCATCTATGCATAAGAGAATGCCACTTGAAAGAGATGTTTGATGATAATGCTTTCTTCGTATCAGTCTACAACAACAATAACAATAATAACAACTGTAACTTTATAGCATAAAAATGAGAAAACATTTTCCACGTTGTAGTGTTTGAATTAGCTCAATTTAATTTCAGGGCTCTCTTAAAAGATGTATGGAAGTACCTGCTTCATCTTTCCCTGAAGGGGTTTTAAAGATAATTTTTTCAAACATGAAATAAGAGGGAGAACAACTTTCCAGTAATCGACACATATCCATGCACTAGTCATAAAAATAGCTGCAAGATAAAGGAGATTGATTGTTATAACTTAGGTTAGACTCATCCCTTGTAAGTGAGCGTATGTAGGCAGAAAAAAGTAAACAATGTTAAGGAAAAATGCTTGCATTATAACTTGTGTAGATTTGTTCTAAATCAAGAAAATGACAAGTTGTGGTAATATCTTGTTTGCTTCACATTCAAGATACTGCAATATTAAATAGACTTCGGCCATCATTATATTGAGTGACTGATAAAAGTATAGCATACATTTTTAGGAAACTCGATAATGAGTGGGGACATACTCCTCTGTTCCAAATAATGTCGTACTATGTATAATTTTAGCATTGAAGTTTTGTTTGTTTAAGGTGAAATAGGAGAGAAATAGATAGAGCAGGCAAATAGGAGAGAATATATATATAGGGTTGGGTTCTAATAAGAAGACATCTTAGCGTGAGAAGTGAAAAACTTCACATTTGCTTCTTTCTGATGCACTATTTCGCTAATCTGATGCACTTTTTGCGATGGTAGAAAAATTCCGATTAATTACGGATATGCCACCGCGTCTAGCATCGCTTTTTAAATATTTTTTACACTTTCTAGTGCACTTTTTTGCTAATCTGATGCACAGATCTTAAAATGAACGCACCAGATGCATTCTCACTTCTTACAATAAGCACTCTTCTCATTTGATCCTTATTGAGAAGAGTTTTTCCGGATTAATGCTAATTAATTATCTCCGAGCCATTCTTTGCAAGTGGAGGTGAAATATCCCCTTCACGTGGGATCATAAATGTTTATGCCACTTGATGATGAGGAAGTTGTAACGACATTGTGGACGATAGTTCAGATGATGACTATGTCCATAATGGAGATATACATTTCAGATTCTCACCGTGACGCTTCTGTAACTCCGTCAACATCAAATGATGTTGTATCTGGGCATGGTCTTAATGCGGCGGCCTCCTCAAATGATGCTGTTTTGGACATGGTTGTAGAGGAGGATGAACGGTATTTGCACAATGGTGCATCCTTTTTGGATGGCCATGAAAGTGATGATGATGCTGATGAACGCATCAATGATGGTGCAATCACAGAGTCAGATGAAGATGATGATGATATTGTGACCGCAACTGCTCCATCTACTCACTATACTAGATTGTATGATCTCCCATCCGGATTTGATGATGCATGGAAGAGTGGATCGAGTGTGAAAAGGTTTACACAAGATAGTGAGTTTGAGGTTGGTCAACAGGTTGAAACAACTCGTTTCTGAAACAGAACGTTTGGGTGTTAACGTATTTGGGAAAAGGAAAGTCGTCAAACCGTTTGACGACTTATAAGTCGTCATCCGATTTGGCGACTTATAAGTCGTCAAACGGTTTGGCGACTTTCCCGACCAGAGTTAAGCCCAACGGTATATTGGTAAATAGTTTTAACCCAACATTAATTCCGTAATTATTTAATTAATTAGCATTAATCCGGAAAAATACTCCATTGAGTTCACTCATTATCATTTTATCCTTTACTCCTCCCCTTCTCTTCTAACAAACCACACAAAAACTCTGCCTTATTTCTCTTATCTCCTTCTATCTCATCCGTTTCTCTCATCTCTATTTCTTTACTACAAGAAAGACCTAAAGGGCTACTTTGTCGTTATCGTGTACTGTATATATAGTCTATATCTCCATGCAAGACCTTCACAGAGAGAAATTATTCCACAAGGTGGTGGGGCAGTAAGATAAGGTTAATAATTTTAAAGTTATGGTGATTAGTTTACAAGGTGGGGGGGGGGGGGGGGGGGGGGGCGTTCTCATAAGCGTAAAATCGAGACTCATTTTATTTGAAAACCAGAGACATAGAATACTTATTGACACATAATAAAGAAATCTCCAAGATTAAAGGAAACAGAAGTGGGCATATAACAATAAATTTTTCACTTGATAAGTTGAGAATGATTTGTTTTGTAAAATGGTGAATCAACCGTGTTGGGAACTTAATGAATTTTTGAATGACTCATTTCTTGTTTTTACTTCAGCCATTTTTCAGGAGAGACAATCTCACTCGATATATCAAGTGATAATGATGAGTCAGTCTCAACAAGGCTGGTGACAGCTGTAAGACAACTCAAACCATATTGATTCTTTTATTGTTTTAGTAGTACATGAAAATGAAGACACCTAACATGGAAAAGAATACTTAAACTTTAAGACAAGCATAACACACAAAGAATCATCCGCGGGTGTTTCTGTTAGGGTGCCTATTAACATATATTAGGGTAATTTGAGTTTGCATCATATTTTATTTTTCAAATTAAACTTTGCACCGTTTTTTCAAAAACTTTGAATTTGTACCCCAACTTCATATGAAAAGATAAAAATGTCTCTTCATTAGGAATTCTGTTGGCCTTCAACATATTCCTGATCAAAGAGTTATATTATCTTTAGAAAACTGTCAAATAGGTCCTCGAACTTTCCTAAAAAAGTCAATTAAGTCCTTCTATAGGAGACTCTGTCCGGCCGTGATTTGGGGCGGTCCCCGGTGGAATTTTTTGATGATTTTTTTGAGCATCTTATTCATCAAGTCTAGTTTACTCATTCCAAATTTCAGCTAAAAATTCAATTGGGAACGTATTCAAATTAATTCGAGAACGCAAAAATGCGCAGTTATCTTCACGAATTAATTTGAATGTGTTTCCGATTGAATTTTTAGCTGACATTTGGTATGAGTAAACTAGACCCGATGAATAAGATGCTCAAAAAAATTCATCAAAAAATTCCACCAGGAACCGCCCCAAATCGCGACGGTCGGACAGAACCTCCTATAGAAGGACTTAATTGACCTTTTTATGAAAGTTCGAGGACCTATTTGACAGTTTTCCCTATTGTCTTTTCATATGAGGTTGGGCTACAAATACAAAGTATTTTAAAAAATGGTGCAAAGTCTAATTTGGACAATAAAATGATATGCAAACTCAAATTACCCCAACATATTATTATTACTACTACTATTTCATTACCACATACATATCAAAAATATGAGTTTAGGTTCTCTTTATATGAAGGTAGATCACATGTTTAAAATCTTTAAATACGCGTCTTTTTGTGATTAGATAAGAATACATGCTAAACTGCTGTACACCACCATCCGACTACCCTGATTGTACTTGGTGAATTATAAGAAGATTTAATTATATTAAGAGTAGAAATGATTATATCAAGAGGTCAAAATGTACTACCTCTGTCAATCTCATTTAACTTTTCATTTGACTTTGACATAATTATTAAAGTAATTTAAAATATAAAAATTTTGGTTAATATTTGAATATAATAAAGTGAAATGACGTGAATCACATATATTTTTCTAAAAAAAGAAATATAACACTTATTTATCGATAACTCAAAAAGGAAAGTAAGTAAAATGGAAAGGAGAGACTAATACTTAATTTTACTCTGTATTTATGAAATACGTGGTACTATAAAATATGAACTCATATTTGATAGATAGGTTCATGTTTTACTAAGGCAATTACTTACGCAGTAAGTACGGAGTAGTATTTTATATAGTCCTTAATCACTAAGCTTGTAAAACTTTCTTCTTTGCTTCTTAAATGGGTAATACTCGTATTATAATCACAACTCCGATCAGCATTGGGGGAGAAGAGCTGTTCTCGAGGAAAATCGTAATTTTGTTAAGTTACAATCGGTCTGAATTTATGTGTCTCGCTGACAGTGTCAGGGAATTTAGTTAGTGTTCAGCTCCAGCTCTCTCTTCCTCTCCATTTTGCACATTTCTCTCTTTCTTCGTCGATTCAGGTCAATTTCTTGGTTGATTCTTCCTTAGCTTATACGTTCTGTAATGTCAGTGGCGTGTGGGGTGGAGTGCGTGTTTGTGGCAGGATGCTTCCGGTGGGCTTGGAAGCGCTGCACCTATATCGGCTCCGACGACAGTGCCACGTGGACCGCCGCCACGGACGAGGAGTTCGACCCCATCCCCCGTGTCTGCCGTATCATCCTCGCCGTCTATGAGAAGGACCTCCGCAAGCCTAAGTTTCCACCCGCCGGCGGCTACAGTCTTAACCCCGACTGGGTGATTAAGCGCGTGACCTACGAGAAGCCACCCGAATTCGCGCCGCCGCCGTACCTGATCTACCTCGATCACGACCACCGCCAGATCGTCCTCGCCATCCGCGGCCTCAACATGGTCAGGGGGAACGATTACAAGCTCCTCCTCAACAACAGCCTCGGCAAGCAGATGTTCGACGGCGGCTATGTCCACTACGGCCTCTTGATGTCTGCGAAGTGGTTGTTGAATGAAGAGTCCGAGACTCTGAGGATGCTTTGGGAGGAGAACGGGAGGAGCTATAAGATGATTTTCGCCGGCCATTCCTTGGGATCCGGCGTCGCGTCACTGCTCACGATGATTGTCGTCAATAACAGGGACAAATTCGGTGGAATTCCGAGGGATCTGATCATCTGCTACGCGGTGGCGCCAGCTCGGTGCATGTCTCTCAACTTGGCCGTCAAATATGCCGACGTCATACACTCCGTCGTGCTGCAGGTGATTATTAAGAGTGGCTTTGCAGGATTGTAATCTGAATTCAACAATTTAACTAATTTATTGAGCATAATTAGATCTGATCCTTCAATTTAGGGCTCTGTCTTTAATCTCTCTATTTTTGTAGGACGATTTCTTACCGAGAACTGCCACTCCATTGGAAGATATATTCAAGTCCTTATTCTGGTGAGTTAGTTTTCTGACCTTTTACTGATTCCACTCCTTCATGGTCTATATCTTCTCAAGCAATAAACCAGACTTTAATGCTTTAAGCAGTTTGCCATGCTTGTTATTTCTAGTGTGCTTGAGGGATACCTTCATACCTGAGGGTAAAAAGCTCAGAGATCCTAGAAGGCTATATGCACCAGGTCGAATGTATCATATTGTTGAAAGAAAATTCTGCAGGTACATTGATCCACCACTTTAAACAGGTTCAACACAATTTTACAATGAACATGTAATGTATTCATTGTTAAATTAATACCCTTGCAAGACTCCTGACCTTACAATATACTCCGTATAAGTTAAAGCTTGCCTTACAGCAGAAAATGCCTTCACATTTTGGTACACACAGATGTGGGAGGTTTCCTCCAGAAGTAAGAACTGCCATCCCTGTTGATGGAAGATTCGAGCATATTGTGTTATCTTGCAATGCCACATCTGATCATGGAATTATTTGGATAGAAAGAGAATGTGAAAAGGCATTAGAAGTAAGTTTCAGTATCACAATATGTTTTGTTAGTTCTTGGACTTCTCTTCCTGGAAATGTATAATAATTTAGTCAAGTGAGGCATATTTTTATAATGTCATTTTTTTGTAGAAACTGAAGGAGGCCAGAGCTGAGACGGTTGTCACAAATGCCCCTCAGGTACAGAAAATGGAAAGACTGCAGAGTATTAAAAAGGAACACGAGGATGCACTGGAAAGAGCGGTCAGTTTGAACATACCCCATGCGCTGCCTACAACCGAAGAAGAAGAGGTGGCAGAATCCTCAGGGAACCACAATGAAGGACCCCAGATGGTGCAGATGTTAGGCATACCAGCAAATTCTTCTTCTCAAAAGGATGAAAAGAAAGGTGAAGAATCATCGCAATTTAAGACTAAAACTAACTGGGATGAGTTGGTTGAAAAGCTTTTCAAGAAAGATGAAACGGGGAAGATGCAATTCAACAGAGATTTTGTTAACCAATGATTGGTTTGGGATGGTTGCCTGTGGCTTTTTTCATTCTCTTTTTGTTCAGATGATTGCTCACGATTGTTTGTTAAATCAATATTTTTCTTCACGATTCATAATTGTCACCAAGTGTGAAGGGTGACGGTGGTTCTAAATGTAAAAAAGAAGGTTGTCGTGTGATGAGAAATATTCTTTTAAAAATTTATATTGAGTATCAATTTTCAAATCGATCAGTGATAAAACTGTAATGATGTAATCTACTCAAGGATGGACCAGGCCCGGTCAAATCGGGCCGTGGATCGGCTCGGCCAGGGACTGTTTAGTACCGAACAGGACCGGTACTGGTCCATGAGGTCCGAACCGGGGGTAAGGGGCGGGCTACGGGACAGCGAATTGGTGGACCGGACCGGCCGGTTCGGGACCGGTCAGGGCCAATAACGGCTACTTATTTTAAAAACAATAATTTTAAAAATAGAAATTGCTCTAAATATGAGCACAAACGTTTTGAAATTTCAAAATAGGAGTATCATGTTTTTTATTCTCTGAATAGGAGCAATCTGTCAATTTTGGAAAAAAATGACATGTTTTAAAGTCTGGTAATGCCAAACTTGGCAAAAGTTTACTCTTATTTAAAGAATAAAAAACATGATAGTCCTATTTTGAAATTTCATTTTTTTACTTCAATTTGGGGAATTCACCCCTTTAAAAATGAGCTACTACTAGCCGTTTTTAAAGTTTCAAACGGCTACATAGCCGTTGGAAGGGAGTCTGGGAGGTTTGGGGTGAGTTAATTAAAATATTAATTTAGTACACTTGTTATATTAAAATATAAAAGTAGTTGGAATTTTAGTTAATTAAACTATTAAACTAGTTGAAATTTTAGTTAATTTTACTAAACTTGTTAGATTGAATTATTATATTATTATATAGTAGTTGGAATTTTAGTTAATTTACCACGGAGATTCTGACGATGCCAGAGATTTCGATCGATTATTATTAGGAAATGTATTTAATGTTCTGAATTTTACTTAATTCTTAATTATAGTTCATATTTCAAATAAATATAATTTAACATTTTTATATCAAGCACTTCTTGAATTAATTATTTAACAATATTTGAAAGAAAAAAAAGTACTACCCAACCTGACCCAAGATCCGGGCTGGTAGACCGGACCAGACCCGAACCCGTCCACCTCTAGTTTTAGGAGTATTTTTATACGAAGTATATATTGACATAGCCTCATTACTCTCATAGGGTTGGAATTTTGAAATTGAAGCGCCTTGTCTCATAATCAGAGAATCTACCTAAACACGAAGTCTAATTGATGATTTTGGTGTGATTATATCGTACTACAAACAACATAATTTTACAACACAACGCTTAAGTGAATAATTATGTCCTTCCGACTTCTGAGGACACGAACTAGCGAGTACTTTAATATACTACGGAGTACAAGCAACGATTAAAAACTCACCACTCAAACTCTTGAGTTAGGAAAACTAATTAAATATGCACATCATTCCAGTTCGAATAATGATAATACTTTGCAAAGATTAGAAAACAAACGTCTAGAATCCTTCTCGCAAAATCAATTCATCAACAATCAGTAATAATCACCACAGAACAAAAACACTAATAACCATTGTTGTTGAATTTATAAAGACGGCGATCCACTGATTAGAGAGGTTTGACTTTGTGGTCGAAGCGTGGGATATTCAAGTCTGCATGGCATGGTAGCTATCCAGCTCCTTGTCAAGTTCATCAGCTGACTTCTCCACACCACCCTTCTTCCTTGCTCCTCCACGTCCACGACCACCCCCAGCACCTCGGCCACGACTAGCAGCTGCAGCTCGGCCACGACCACCATTTCCACCTCGGCCTCTTTGCCTGAGCATTGAAAGAATACCCCAACTCAATATTTATTTGTTGATTTTGTTTTTTTGGCATTTTAGCAATGCATTGAAAACATAAAAATTATGCAAACACTTGGGAAGAGGAGCACCAGCTCCATCTTGTACATAAAAATAATTAGTTCTGAAGGAGCTACTTACCCAGAACCCCAGTTAGTAGCAAGAGGAGCACCAGTTCTTCTAGGCCTTGCGTATCCTTGTCCCCTACTGCAAATGTATATTTGTTATTTAAGTACAATATGAAGGAATGTTGTTAATAAGTTGGAAAAGTTGGTTCTTTTGCCAGAAATCTTAAATGATCCAAAAGACAAAATACTGCACAAGGAGGATGAATGTCTTACTTCATGACAACTGTCCTCTTCCCATTCTTCGTTCCAACAACATTCACAAGAGGTAAAAAGGGAACTTGCGGGTTGGTTGGAACTACTTCAATCTTCATAGGCTTTCCATCCAATTGTACATTGTTGTATTTTTTTAGTGCTTGGATTGCATCAGTTCTTCTCACAAAAACAACCTCAGCAGAACCCTGTATAAATACCAAAAATCAAAGTTATGAATCAAATCAAATCAACATTAATTGAACACAAGTATAGCTTGAAAATACAATAAAAATGTTCAAACAAAACAAGGTCACTTGACTAAGTACATAGAAGTCCCCTGTATAATTGGACTGGATGTCTCTAAACTCAGCACATTTTATTAAACTGTGCATATAGATACATGAATCTGGAATCATTCAGTACAAACTACATCATAAATCAACATCGGTGATATTTGCAAGGAAAAGCCATCTCAAGATACTATAACAAGTTACTATTCCCATGGAAATTAAAGATACATATAACACTAGGAAATACGAGATAATGAACTTACACTTTGGCGGCCATTCTTGTCATAGTGGATGGCATACCTTACCAATTCTCCAATTTCCGAGAAGAGTTCCTGCGTTCAAAGGTTTCACTATCATTCATCTCACAGCATTAATAACTAGCTGGAATGGGGGCATGGGAATGCGCAAAAAAACAGGGTGTACCCTTATATCTTCATTGGTAACACTGTGGTGCAAGTTGGAAACATATAACTTGGTACCACTTTCAAATCCAGATGATACCCCAGCTGCTCTAAGGCTATCTTCAAACAAACCATTCTGCCAAGGCAAATTTTTCACCCTGCGGAAAGACTGAAGCAAGCAAACCCAATATGACATCCACAGAGGACGAGTAGAATCAGCATACTATGACTAGTGACAGATACAACATTCTTCTAGTACGGAGCAGACATCATCAAATGGCCAACACGGTAGATGTGATTAATATTCAATATAGTAATTTTTTGCAAACATAATTCAACTATTGTTAAACAAGTGTAGATGGGAGTTGAAGATTTTCACCCACTGCAAAGTATCACATCAATTGGTGCTTATGCAAAAAAAGGAACACTTCCAGTTCTGATGTTCAGCGAAGGAAAGCCACCTTTGCAAAACGCCATGAACTGGGATACTAACTGAATACTGCAACCCCAAGAAATTTGTCGGCTAGCAACAGCATCCATCATACACTTGCTAATGAGGTTTACAGATCACTTAGAAAGTCAGCCCTCTAGATGTTAAGTATGTTTAATTGTTGAAAGTTGTTAAATTTTCAAATAATGAAGCTCCTCAATGTTAAGGTACACTATAAAGAAGTGAATGATAGTCCCCAATTGAGCAGAGCCATCCTCTCCAACTTTTATCAAAACTTTGGGAGTAAATTCCATAAGACAAACCAAACATGAAGAGGGACCTCGAAAAGCGTGGAACAATTTGCACAAGAGCTTATTGTAGTTGATGATCCAAATTGGGCACCTCCTTTGACCCAATATTGTCACAGAACTTCTCATGGTGGAATTTCTAATGCAAACTAGAGACAATGATTTAAGGAATTCATAAGACATCCAGTAGTTTCAAGCTTGCCTTGGCAATGGTGTGAGCTGATGGTCTGGCATTAACACCTAGAGCACCTCGACCAGGAGGAGCTCCAGCACGTCTTCCACCTCTAAATGATCCACTGGCCCCTCTTCCACGTTGAGGTCTGCCCCCTCCCCGACTTTTCTGACTTCTCTCAATATTACGTCTGCTCTTTATCATATCATCAAGTGTCATATCCAAAGAAGCCATCAGGCAGGTTGATTGAGGCTAAAACTGTCTTCGCTCAAACAACAATTCTGTGAACAATGAAAACAGCACAGGATGAAAACTTGGCGGATGTGAAAAAATATGTCCACACAGACAGATGCATTTATTATTGATACTCGGTTGAGATGTACAATACAAGTCATCGGAAAGTAGCACAAAAGATTGAATACTGCAGGCAATCATGCGATCAACAAAGAAATTGAGATCTACAAATAATCACACAGAAACAAACGTAACGCAACAATAGGAACGCATTCCAAATCGAAGAAACATAACATATATGCTTCAAATCACAACGACATGAGAAAAAATCGGGGCTTTTCTAGTTTGAACAAAACTTTTAACAAAATAAGTACGGATGCTAGAAAACCTAAAAACTGAATCACGTTCTAAATCCCAAAACACAACAGAAGAGGATCGATTATACAAATCAATACTGTAGGTGCATGACATAAAACAAAAATTATGCTTACCTAAATCAGCCAGAACCCGAACAATTCAGGGATTGTTGAATGGAAAAGTATGGAGAGAAAGGGGATGTGACGAACGGAAAATTATGGAGAGCGAGGCGATCTGTGATAGTCGAATGAAAATTGAAGCGGAGAAAGGTAATCCGATCCAGAGGGCGACGCTGGGACGAGAGAATGTTGTGTTTGAAGAATTCCTTGGGGAGCGATTAGGTCTATTTATCAGAAGACAGAGGCGGTGGTGTGTGTATATGGAAGAAAGCTAAACCAATCAGGATTTCGAAATCAACGTGGACTTAGGCGTCGGAATTGGGCTGGACTAGTCGGAAGTTGGACTCGTTGGAAGTTCCATCTATTTCCATTCATAATCTCTCATAATCAATTTTAATCTTCTAATTTTTAATAATCTCAAAATTCATCCATGTATCTCAACCAACATCTTCAAATAATACCTTTTTCTTGATGCTGCATTAACCTCTATTACATACCGTGTGACTATGCCCAGATTTCAACAGTTGAATAATCTAATAATAATTGAAAGAATTAAAATAGTAGAAGAGAAATTTCACCAATAACGTATACCGTGTGACTATGCCCAGATTTCAACAGTCGAATAATCTAATAATAATTGAAAGAATTAAAATAGTAGAAGAGAAATTTCACCAATAATGAATAATCTACTTCGAACAAGCTAGAGAGATAATTTCTAATCTACGTGCTCTATCAGAATAATATGCGGAATAGAATGTGTAGAGACTTTCTCTTTCTAACGTTGGAGTTCCAATAATGATGCGTGAAACAATTTAGGAATCGGGAACTCTCTCTTATTTCGGCCTACACATCCTATATTTATGGGAGTGTGGTCGAACATCCTAATTCCATTAGGATGAGCTAAATAGGTCTAATTAAATGGCCCTTAATTAATTAATAGGTTCACTGATTAAATCCTAATTAAACAAAGATAAATCTAATTAAATTGAACACAATAAAATATATTCTAACAATCTCCCCCTTTTTGTTCAATTTGCAATGAAGCGCGGGTTATCTTTGTTTTGATCTTCACGGGATATCACCTTCTTTTGTCTTCTTTGAAATGCTTCGTGAAGAACTCCTTGCAATCTCCCCTTTGTTGTCTTCTTGGTAATTTGATCTTTGATGTCGTGGGATTTAAGGATCTTCAAACTCTTGCATGTAGTCATTTCCTTTCAGAAGTTGCTCTTGATCACTTTGTGTGACACCGCACCCGAACGTCCTTGAAATTCAAATTTAATTTCAAAAGCTATGCACTGAAGTTCCTATTATCGTACAATTGTAAAACGATTAAAGTTTTACGTAAAGTGTGATTAATCATATTAATGTTTGGGCTCGTATAATAGTAATGGACTTCTAAATAATTAAATGGGCCATCTTCTTGATATTGGGGCCCAACATTCTTAAATAAAAATATATAACCCCTCGGTACAAGTAAGAGCGGTCGGGCAGCCCAAATGTTATTTTGTGCCTAACCAGCTAAAAATAGCAATTATTTAAGAATGGCGTCCTAGACTCATTGGAGGGTGGCCCACACGGTTAGTAGCCCAGCTATATAAATATTAATATCATAAATAAGTGATTGAATGATTGGAGAAGAATACAAATGCCTATGATCCCATATTTGGCATTATTAGGCTAAATAATGGGAGTAGGGTTTTCTTTTATAACTATACATCATATAAATTATGGGGACCATCCTACACATATTAGAGATCAATAATATGATGTAGAAGGTTGACTTGATCTAAATAAATTGGGATGAGTACAAAAAGTACATCTTATGACAAAAGACAAAAACAATAGGACCCATCTTTCCACTTTTGGAAGTATTTGTGGATATTTTGCTCCCAAATTAATTAGGGGAGTTAAGAGTGCGTCCCACACCTTCCTAGCACCTGAAAAACAGGTAGAATAAGTTAGAACACATAAATGGGGCGGACCTATTGTGTTGAGAGCTCAAACAATACAAAAAGGAAATAAAAGAGGGGGATCATCCCATGTTTGATTGGAATCAAACATCCTACACTTTCTTTTTGTGAAGCACACATTAGTTATCATCATTGGGAGATCTTGAACCTTATCCCAACCTCCAGTAGGAATCTTATCTTGTGAGGAGAGTATAAGAGCTCACAACACACCAAAAAGGGGTAGAAATCATTCTCGCCGCATGGAGGATTTCCAGTGCGAAGGTCTTCTTGTTCGACTCATATCTTGAGTTTCACTCATCCAATTAAGGCGTGTGAGGTGCCCACTGAAATCTCTCAAGAATAGGAATCCATATACGTGCAGTTTGCGTCAAGTGGAGCAGTTTAAGGCCTCCAGATCGTTCAAACAAAACACAACCTCGCAGAATACGATTTTGTATTCAAAGTAAGTTTGAACCCAAAACCTCCCTTTCTGTTGTCTAAATCATATAAATGATTGAGGAACTATTGTACACTGGTTGAGGTGTATAAATTGTCGTTTTAAAGTGACTTTATTTGTTGGAAAGGTTAGATACTAACCTAGACAAAACCTTGAAAGGTTAAGGAACGAATTCACCGGAAAACACCCGTTCTAGGGGCTATTTTCGTGTCTTCGGTTAGGAGTTGAGCAAGCACCTTCAGGGGGCTGTTTAACACCCATTTATAAGCAAGGAATCAATTCTCAAACCCCCTTGGCCGAAGCTTGAGCATTGGGTTGAGAAGGATCAATTTAAAGCTCATTTGAGGTGAGGATCGACATCTAGTTGCTTACAACTTATAGGTTAAGCATGAGATTAACTAAATGGCTAAATCATGTTTTTCATGGGTTATGATGATAAATTATTGATTAAATATTGATATAGTTTCCAAAGAATGAAATGGGAAATGATTTGGAAATGTATTGATAAAAATGGAGTTAAATGAACTATTGTGTGAAATAGACATTTTTACTCATGTGTGAATTGTGTAGATACATAAATGATTATTTATGTATTACATTGGATGATTAAGTTGCTTCTACATATCTCTAAATATGTAGGGAGTTACAAATAGAATATATGATGGATAAGAATACTCTTAATAGTATTGAAATACTAGTTAATGATTGTTGTAATTGTTAAGGAATTGAATCTAAGGATTTGATTCTAATTGATGTACTTGATTGTGATGCAAGTGACTAAATTGATGTAATATGATGTACGATCATGTTGAGACAGTCCGTGAGGATGTCCCAAAGTTGATTATTGTTATTACAATTCTAGGCATAGTGAGTGCTTAGGAATTGGGGTCTATGCCAATGTAAGGAGATGTACTTAAGCCGCGCTCTAGAATTGCATTGGGTAGACATGACATGGTGATTGATGACATGCATGGTGATGTAGTTGAGTTGGACTTAAGAAATGCATGGGAGATATGAGGCTGTAGCATATGATGTGCATGGTGATGTAGTTGAGTTGGACTCAAGAAATGCACGGTGGAATAATTAACTTGTGTTATATAAGGTGCATGGTGATGTAGTCGAGTTGGACTCGAGAAATGCAAACATATGTGTTAGGGTTGAACCCTATGTATTGTCGTGACTAGGGGTCACGGGGTTTGGATTATTTTTTTGTAAACAAGCCTTGGGCCTACGGGCTGACTACTTGACTTTATATATAAAGTAAGTATATTTCGAAAAGGGGTAACTTGGGGTTACGACCTAGCTTATATTATCACCCTATTTGAGGGTCTTGTGTTTGAAATACTCGTTTTATATCTATTAGATGCCATCCACACCAGTACTGACCCTCTTTCGGGAGGGGGGGGGGGTCCCACCACCATTTCAGGTTGAGGCTAGAGCTTGCAACCTGTGCTTGTTGATAGGGCGATCATCTCGGAGGGAAGACTTGGTTTGTGCTTCCTCCATTCTGTTTTTAAACAATTTAAACATGCTCATGGATATTTATGAGTATATGCTCGTGTTTGCTCTGTGTGGCATTTGTTTTCAAACAATTTTTTCCGCTGCGTATTCAATTACTTATTATGTATGTTTATGGATGACTTATGTGTGAATGATATTCGAGACGCCTTGTATAATATGGATGAGTTAGACTGCGGTTGACTATTCGTATTGTACGGCGGGTTGTTGACGTGTCCGGATAGGTCCGGGGCGTGACACTTTGAATGAAATCCGATGGCGCCTCTAGAATGAATATTCTTGACTTGCGTCAGACGCGCACATGATTTTTCTTCAGTTCTTGAGTATCCAACCTCTGTCTCCTCCAGAATGTAGTCTTTTGATGTCAATCCTTTTGTGGAGAACTTGTCGGTGGCACAACGGAAAATGATGAATGAGTTATGAGTATATGCTAACCATTTGATGTGAAGCTGAGCGAGCAGATGTGTATGTTGGAGGAGAGAAGTGTCCGAGAATGATCTTTGAAAGTTTAAATGCATTTGGACCGCTCTCCCCCTCATGATGATCCGATGAGTCGGGACGTCATGCCTTTGTTCGTCCTTTTATTCTGCAAAACAAAACTAAAGTTCGGATACACTAAGGTGTTCCGTTATCACAACCTCAATGTAAACACTGATGTGTGGCCTGTATAAAATGATAGAAACATTAAAGCTCTAGCAGGACTTCCGACCGATCATTGTGAAACATCCATAGTAGATGTCACTCTGGTCGTTATGGCATGATCACAATGATATGCAAAGAAAATTTGTAGCCCCCCAGGGTCGAAAAGAAGCCCGTTATCATTACCATAGAGATGAACTCTAAAGCAATGGCCTGAAAGTGTTGGTGATTTTTATGTTGCAACATCAGGACTTCCATCCAATCATCGGTCTACATCTATAATAGATGAGTCCTATGGAAGTTCTCGCAGGTCTTGAAGACCAACAACTGACACTAAAATGTGTCTGTGTCCTAGAAAATTCAAAAACATTTGGGAGTGTGATAACTAGACACGACGTGGCCAATGAAAGTCTAGTGGCGTGGGGTTGTGGGCCACTGTAGTCAGTACTAGTCGCCTCAGAAGGAGACGGTGATAAATAATGAGGTTCCCCGAGAAATTTTGATGAAACACCTGTCTTTTGGGAAACAAATGAGTGGTCTAGGGTAGAGTTGTGCATGTGCTGTTGGACAAGATGCAGCGACTTCTACCCGAGATCTGAATAAATTCAGTCCTGTACCTACGCAGAATTGTCCGGAGTATTTGAGTGACTAGGATTGATTCTTCATTTGATCGCTCAGATGAGGTAGCAGACTTGTCTTTCAATATTGTTTTCTCGCTCAGTTGAGCATTCTGCTTTGTCACTCTCATAATGTTCACTCACTCACTCTCGGCTTTGTCTCTTGGATAGGCTCAGCTGAGTTTATTAAGCCATTGAGACTTATCTCTCATTGATCTCTTTGCTCCACCTTAATAGAAGCACTCAGTAGGATGCATTTGACGTTGTTTGGCGCTTGGGAGGAGAACTTTGAAATTCCCCCTCAACAGGTGCATCCTTGAGTTGATTCTTGCATCGATCATTGTGTGGTGCCAGGAGGAAATAAAGATGTTCCTCCTCAGAATTTGCAAGTATTGTTGTTGTCATCCGGGGAGTAAAGTAAAAAGCCCCCCCTTGGAATGAGCTTTCTTCGTTATATGGCACCAGGAGAAGTAAAAATTAAAGAAACACCCCCCTCAGAATATGCACTTGTTGTTTGTTGGTGTTGAAGAGTACATTTGTTGATTTTCAGCTAAGTGGAGTAGTATACATGCCAGTACTCTTCTTCGTAATGTGCACACTTGCTCCCCCCTAAAGAATGATTTATCTTGAATAGGTGCACTGGGAGCTTTTGTTGAACTTGTTTTGAAGCTCAGAAAGATATCTTCATCGCTTCCCTTTGACGTATGATACATCCTATGCTTATGTGTGGGTTCAGAATTGAGGTGTTCAGAAGTCTTTTCGGTGCTATCGGGTTATGGACTGATGTATCCAGAAACTCTTATGTAGTGCGGGTTCTGAGCAGATTTACTCAGAAACCATTTTGTAGAGCGAGTTCTGAGCTGATTTACTCAGAAGCCATTATGTGGTGCGGGTTCTAACTTCTAAGCTGTTTTACTTAGAATCCATGATGTGTAGTTGTTCAGCAGCTCAATTTCCCATCATGTGTGTGGAGCAAACATATCAGGTACCACACATGAGGGACACATGTAAAACAATTAAGAAACCTTTGGTACCCATTTAAGGATGGGTCCATCCTTTCTCGCATGACAGAAATTATGAAATTTTTGTTTTATTTTTGTTCCTAAACCAGTCTCGTTTGAAGCTTTTGGAGAGCTATATGACTATAATTCTGATTCAGGAATCCATTTTTGAACAATAAAAGTTTTGGTGCATGTGAATGATGGGATATTGTTTTGAGAAGTAAAGATTTTCTCCTTTGATAGATGTTTCAAATGTTTGACTAAATAAACCTTGAGAGGATATTTCAGTTGAACATCATCACAAACATCATAGGTAGAAGCTCTAAATCTTTTGTGTTTAGATGTCCCATCACTCACATCACAATGATGACTTGAAGTACTAAACTGCCTGGTTGCACTAACAGAAGCACTAGATTGAGTTCTCACAAGAGTAGAATCATCAATAGAAGACTTAGAAGACTTGTCTGTGTCAGAACTAGGTGACTGGATGATTGAATTTGAGCGAGAAGCTTTGAAATTACTACAAGACTTGGTGGAGAAACTCCCCCTTCTCTCTAAAATGAAGAGAGAGAAACTCCCCCTTCTCTCTAAAATTCCAACCTTTTGAACTCCGGCCATGGAATTTCGGCAGCAACATGGCCGAACTAAGTACACCACCAACAATGGACAAAGGTCCTACATTCAAAATCAACCACCAAGAATCACTACTCCCTCTTGGAATCGCATTAAGAGCAGACCCCGTGATAGGGGAGATGGCTACAACAACGCTCAAAGGTTCGTGCAAATTAGCTACAGTAGACCTCCACCTCACTGGTACAACAAACACGACCGCCATAGCACAAGAACCAGAATTCAATCGAACACTCGTATGAGGTTCAGAACAAATCCCTACTCCACACACTACCATACGGATTTAGTCTTTACCCCACACTTCAATAGAAAGGAAATACAACTCAGATCCTCTGCAGAACGACGGCTCCCCTCCCATGAACTGGCTGATGTCCAACGTCTACATCCAGAGCACACTGACTACGCGGAAGATATGGACGAGTCTTGGAACATAGTTCGCCACAGACGAAGGCGCTCCTTTCCCTATCCCAGGGAAAGAACGAAACGAAGTTCATCCTGGTTAGTTGATAATCCTAACCGTTTCATTTTGCTTGATTCTGAACAAGATGACTTGAATCTTCCTCCCCACAATCGATTCAATCGACGATTAGAGGATATCAGCAAGTCTGATATTCAAAATACACATCACCCTGAAGCGGCGCTCGGAAAGGAACCTTCAGATAGGGGAACCAATAGCGTCGAGAACTCAGGCTCCGAATCCATTTCGCCGATGTCCTTACCTGCACCGAACTTAGCCGGAAGCGCCGATGGCGATAAGGCGCCATGGGGAGGCCCACCGACGTGGTCCAGTGGGAACTTGATGAAGACTGCCAATCTGGATCGCCAACTTGCTAGACTGGCGGTACACAGTAAGCAGTACGCATAGCCTACAGACAAAAAGGACAGAGACACGGGGATAAGATTGGACCAGGGCCATACGACTGCAGCAGTACGTAGGCTTACTTGGGCCGAAGTGGTCCGGTGGGAAGCAGACCCCTGTGGAGCCCAATCCAGCCATCCCAAATCAATCGGTAGTCCCCTCTCAAGGCACGCCAAATACAAAACAGTGCGAAAGCTTTTATTTTATTGGAGAAGATGGTTTTGACTCCATCAAAATTGAATCCAAACTGTTCAGGTTTGCGGCCACGGATAATGAAATTGAAATTTTTGAGATGCAAAAATCCGTGCTAAGAAGAATCAATTTCAAAAAAGACGATGCTCCAAATATCTACAGCTGCATTTTACAAATCATAGGCCCAAGTAATGACAATTACAGACAGAGCAGAAAAGTTGGGAATCTCACAATCTCTACTCAAATTAAAAAATCAAGGTCGAATCTGAAGATTTCTAAAGCAAGTGGGACCTCCATTGAAGACCCCATGGGTCCCCTCAATTCCAATCTCAAAGACTTTTTGTCATTATTCTCTAATTTTGCAAAATTATCTACTGAGCAGAAGGAAACCGGACATGGGGAGCACACTCCAGATGACCCCGAGGAAATCAGCATTTCCAAACTCATTTTTAACTATGAAGTACAGAGGGCATTCAGTGATGTGTCAAAAAGCATAGATATTGCGCATAGGAGCTTGATTCCTATACCCCAACAGGATTAATTGCGGATATAGACAAACACGGTGAGATTGCGGGAAGCTCAAAATTTGAAACCGGCCGAAATATCAGATGTCTCCACAGAAGGACTAAAAACTAGGAGTCAATCAAAAACGCTCCAAGATGATGAAGACTATTTCATCTACCCGGTTTACTCAAACTATTATTCACCCCAAAAGCTAGTAACATGTCTGGAACGCTACAAGTCATCACACCCAGATGCAAAGTCTTACCCCCCTTATCTCCAAAGGGCTATCCAATTTCACCTCAAATACAATCGGCTGCTCTCCATCCACCACTGTAGGGGTGCCTACAACATATGTTATTAGTTAACTTTTTTTCTTGCGACTTTCTCTTGTATTTTCCTTTATCGATCTTTGTACTTGCAATCCTTTTTCTAATAAATTGGAAAGTGTTCCCCGGCGCTTTCCCCACTGTCAGTGGAATTTTCAAAAAAAAAAAACAGTGTATTTTAGTAATTAGGCAATAATCCCTTGATATTTTTTTAAAAAAATACTACCAGACTTGGTAAAAAGAGATTTTGATTTTTTAGAAAACATTTTAAGTCTTGTAGCCTCCTTTTGAGTTTGTTTGAAAATCCAGGCCATCCTCTTCTCTTGTCGTTTATTAAGAACATTACCTTTTGGTTTTTCAAAATGAGAGAAAGAGGGTGAGCCATTTTCCTTAGAAACGTGTTGAGGAGGTTTTGAAAAATTGCCTTTAGGAACAGGAGACGAGGTTAAGTCCCTTTTTCTTGAAAAATGGTTTTTATTTTTATTCTTTTCAAAAAGGGAATTTTCAGGAGTCTTCGAGCCTTGAGAGGATTGATCAGTTAATTCAGATATTTTCTTCAAAAGATTTTCCTTTTCAGATTTAAACTTTTCTCATTCTTCTTCAAAAGAAGAATGGAGATCAGCCATTTTCTTGATTATTGCAGGAAAATATGGTTCAGAAACTTTTGAAGTGGAGGCCTCTTCCCCATTGGACACAGTTTGATTTTCAAGAGGAGAGAGGGCAATATAGTCATCAGAAAGAGAAATTTGTCTAGTAGCATAGCTGTCATTAAGTGCAGTATAATCATATCCAATTTCAGCTTTTGCTCTATTCTTCCTTTTGTCCTCTTCTTCCTCACTAGTTTCAGAAGCACTAGTATATTTCATCAGCTTAGTTAACCCTAATTTCATGTACCTCATGTCATACAATTGAATGCAATCAACCTTTTTTAAATTCTCAAGGTTTTGAAAGCATAGCCCTTCTCTAGGCTTATAAAATTCAGTGTCTTTGGTTTTATTATTTAACAGAGAAGCTGTTTGTTTTGATTGACCTCTCTTGGCTAAAATATCCCCTAACTCCTTTATTTTTGAATAAATACGACCACGTTCCTTGTTAATGAATTCAAAACAGGTAACAGCTTCAGAACGTTTTTGCTTGTTCTCATCCAGTTCTTTAGTTAATTCACAGACAGTTTGCTTAAGTTTTTCTACTTCAGACTCTAAGCTAGTGACTTTATCTCTTGAATCTTCAAGCGAGCTGTTTGAAAAGCTCCTTCCAACACTTGTTTTTCCATAACCTTTTGATCATTAGCAAGTCTATCTTCAAGTTCCTTTATTTTATTGGAATAAGAAGTACTTACCTGGAACTTGTCAGATACTGTGGTTGATTAGTTGCTTAAAAGCATTGATGAGTTGGAGTGGGAACTCATGGATGATTGTCGGAGATGAATCCTTCACAGAATAGCTTTGACCAGCCTTGACTTGATGAAGAATTGACCAAATTCGCTTCCGTTTTGACTTTGACCGGTGAATGACAATGTTTTTTCGGAAAACAGGTGATATCTTGGTCAAGAAGGGCGTGTGTCTTAAGGTTCTGAGGAACCTTCCATAAAATTGTAGATCTCTTCAAGACGTTTCCGAAAAGGTATTATACGCGTAAATCGGATCACTGAGTCAAAAGTTATGGTCAAAACGGTGTAGACACACAAAAATTGCAAAAGTTGATTGTTGAATGATGGGTGACGAGAACTGTTCGGATTAAGAGTGGCTCGAGATTATGGATTACGGGTGTAGGTTCGTGATCTTCAAACTTGAAAGGCCTGAAATCTAGAGATATGAATTAGGGAGGTCCGAGATCTTGATCTAGATGGAGGCCCATGATCTTTTTAAAAAAAAATTGAGGTCCGAAATTATTAATCACGAGTGTCTCAATAGCTGGATGTCGAGAGAAGTTAGAAGGCTTGTTTTCAGGTTTGTAATTTTGGGTGAGGGGTATTTGAAAAGGGGATTCGGGATGTGGATGTGGGGCTTATTTAAGGATGTGGGATTTGGGAGGTAGTGAGTTTTCATTGGTTAGACTTTAGGAAAAAGGATTATCCTGATTGGATAATCACCATGCAAGAAGAAATCTATCAGTTTGAGAGACTGAAAGTTTGGTCACTTGTTCCTCGTCCCTCTGGAAAATCAATCATAGGCACTAAGTGGATCTTCAAGAATAAAAAACATGAAGACAAGATCGTGATTCGTAATAAGGCCCATCTGGTTGCGAAAGGTTATAATCAATAAGAAGGGATCGACTACAATGAGACGTTTGCTCCAGTTGCACACATTGAAGCCATTCGACTGTTCATGGCTTATGCTGCACAAAAGAACTTCACCATCTATCAAATGGACGTCAAAATAGCATTTCTGAACGGGATCTTAAAAGAAGAAGTTTATGTTGATCAACCGGAAGGATTCATCAGTGAGAAATATCCAGATCACGTCTATCATCTGGATAAAGCTTTCTATGGACTCAAACAAGCCCCGAGAGCTTGGTATGAGGAATTATCTGATTTCATGGTTGATTCTGGCTTCTCTAAAGGAACAATTGATACTACTCTCTTCATTAAGCGTCATGGATCTGACATCATCTTGGTCCAGATCTGCGTTGACGACATCATTTTTGGTTCCACTGATGCGGCCCTCTATACTGCATTTGGAAGTCTGATGCAATCTAAGTTCGAAATGAACATGATGGGTGAAATGAATTTCTTTCTTGGACTGCAAGTTAAACAACTGCCTGACGGAATCTTCATTCATCAGTCCAATTACATTCATGATTTGTTGAAGAAATACGGTCAAGAAAACATCACCCCTGTGAAAACCGCGATGACTCCTCCCTGCAAGCTTGATACTGATCCATCGGAAAAGCCTATTAATGTTATCACTTATAGGGGAATGATCGGTTCGTTGTTGTATCTGACCTCGAGCCGACCTAATATTATGTTTGCTACTTATCTCTGTGCTCCCTTTCAAGCAAATCTAAAGGAATCCCATCTGCTGGTTGTGAAACTAATTCTGCGTTATCTGAAAGGAACTCCTAATCTTGGACTCTAGTATCCTAAGGAGACTTCATTTGATCTGATTGCATTCACTCACACGGATTTCGCTGGGTGTGAAATGCTTAGAAAGAGTACTTCTTGTAGTGCTCAATTTATTGGAGAAAAACTGGTGTGTTGGTCCTCAAAGAAGCAAAATTGTGTGTCTACATCTACATCGGAGGTTGAATATGTCGCTGCTGCTAGTTGTTGTTCACAAGTATTATGGATGAGGACTCAACTGCGTGACTTTGGATTCTACTTTGACCACATTCCCATCTATAGTGACTCAAAAAGTGCGATTGCTATCTCTTGCAACCATGTCCATCATTCTCGCACTAAGCACATTGACCTGAGATTCCACTTCATCAAAGATCATATTGAAAAAGGTCACGTGGACATATAATTTGTGTGCACTGAGCTGCAATTGGCTGGTCTATTTACAAAGCTCTGGACGAGAAAAGGATTCAGTTCCTGGTCTCTAAACTGGGAATGCTGAATTTGGATTTTTAAATCGTGCACTAGTATAGGGGGAGTTTTTATTTTTATTTTTTAAATTTTTGTTGAGTCGGTTTCTTGGTCTGTTTCCCGAAGATGTGAAAACCTTGAGGGGGAGCAAAGTTTGTCAGTCTGATCTGAGTGCTGCAATTGAGGGGGAGTATTTTAATTTCTTTTAGTATCCGCAATTTTTCTCATAAATAAAAAATTACAAAAATATTTTTTATTTTAATTTGAGTCAGTTTAGTTTTTTTTGTCAGTTAAATTGAGTGAGTTTCTTAAATCAGAAAATCCAAAAAGAGCTTAGTTTTTCTTTTTCGCGGGTGCATAAAGGTTGAACCATTTTGTCATCCTCTTCCTCTCACTTTCTAAATTCATAACAAAGCACTCAACGGTCTTCTCTCTTCTTCATCACCGGGTTTTTCTTCTCAAAGTTACTTCAAGGTTGCCATTTTCTTCTTTGTACTTTTGCATGTGTGTGTGTATTCTGTTTGCAGGTTCACCAAGAAGAAACGATGTGGAGAAATTCGGCAATAACCACCGGAAACCCCCCTCCCTGTCGACGGTCAAAACCATCTCACCAACTTCCACCCCTTGATCCGAAGAGCCTCCATAGCCAAGAAACTTGACATCCATAACCTTTCGAATTCATTAGCCACTCCTAATCTCGAAAACCACCATAGCCGAAATCCCCTTCCCTAGGAAATCTATTCGAGATCTTTAAAATCGGGCTCCGAGATCCTGTCCCGAAATCCATCACCAAGGCCATCCGGAATCCCATTGACCCAAAATCTTTAGTCCAACGGAAACCTGAATTCTAATCTACAGAGATCTTTTTAAACGGGCTACCGAAATACTACTCACCTATCTAAAGTCCTCAACTGAAATCCTTGAGACCGGGCATCCGTAATCCTCAGCCGAAATCATCCCTTTACCAAAATCCCTCTACCCAAAATCCCTCTACCTGAGATCCCTCTGCCCAAAATTCCTAATATTCGAAATCCGTAAAGCCGAAGTCATTTCAAAACCAAAGCTCAAAGCCCATTCTTTGATTAATCTTTGTTTTGATATGTGCAATTCAGGCAATGGCATTCTTATCCGAGGAGGAAGTGTATCCTAAGGAAAGTAGGATTGACATTAAAGATGATAACTATTTGTTGGATCCAACTGTGCTCAAATGTCAAGACAAAGTGATGATTTCTATCCTAAGAGGACATTCGTTATGGCTAGCAATCACCCTTTCTGTCAAAGCCCTGAAAATCTACCTCAGACAGCTCTAGGGAATCATGCACACAACTGACAATCCAATTCCCACTCTCAAAACTAAACTAGCCAACACCATCATCACCATCACTAAAGATACCTTCCGCACCCTCCTCCACCTACCCATATGTTCTGAATATGACCCGTTCCCAGACAACCACCCAATCTTCTCTGACATGCTAAAAATAGGCCATCTACCACCATTGAATCTGGTCTCACAATTCTACGACAACAAGCTGCCCAGGCCGTGGAGAACTCTTTTTGCCATTCTAAACAAGTGCCTATCCTCCAAGCAAGCAGACTATGATCAATGCAACACTAACATCTCACAACTGGTCCACAGGGTGATGTTTTCAAAGAATTATGACTGGACACATCTCATCTGGCTAGAAATCTTAGAGCAACTAGGCACAAGGACATCAAACAAGAAGACCAAGTACATCCCATATGTACGTCATGAAAGAAGATGCCAACATTCCACAAAGACCTTCAACAGAGCTTCAAGAGATTCCTCAGCAACTCTACTTCAAGAACTATGACAACACCACTGAGATGCAACCAATGCCTATTCCTGATGCTCTACTCAATCTTGTATCTCCAAACGATCCTCACGTCGCTGAATATAAGGTTAGTATCTCTTCTGTCCCTACAACACAGTCAAACCCCACTGTGTCTACCTAAGGGAATTCTAAGCCGAGTGGAAGTAAGGGTCCGAGAGTGACTAAGACCAAAAAGAGGGCAGGTGAGACTCAGTCCAAGAGAGTTGATGTCTCCTCCTCTAGCACTGTTATTGCTACATCAATCCCAGTCACTGAAATAATCCGAACTCAACCCATAGGCACAGGTTCTGACGTTGTCAGTTCCAGAGTAGAAGTCGCCACATTGAATTCAATAGCGGAAAATGTGCCAAGCCTAAACTACTCGACCATCTCCCAAGAGATGGTTGTTTCAACCCAATAAGGGGAACCCATCAGTGAACCACCCCACACTGCTACCTAATGCACATTAGGTCATCTGTCCACCATCCCATAATTTTTATCATTTTCT